GGCGGATTCGGTCCTAGCTCAGCTTCGAATGAGCCCGATCACTTGGGCAGCCGGTCAGCCGGTCAGCCGGTCAGCCGGCCAGAGGGGGAGTGTGCAATGGGGTTGAGGATTGGCCGGAGAGCCACAAAAAAAGCAGTACCAGCGAGCGATGATGCTTGCCAGAGTGGTCTACAAACGTGAAGGGGCCGGTCGAGACCACCTCAGGTCGGTATGAAGAGCCGTAAAACCTCGGAGTGGAGGGCAAAAAAGCTTTGCGTCATGTGGCCTTGACAACTTTTAAGAGGTCGTCTGAAGACAAGCTGGCTTTCCAAGACTCATATTCGTAGAAAGCAGGTTACGAAACTACCACTAGATCACCAATACTTTATGCATTCACCCGCACAATACCATTATTTACATTGGTATTGAGTAAATGCCGAGTCTTGCTTTACGATATTAATGACGCATCTCATTAATTATTCTGCTGCCTGTGCTTGTTTATGTGATGAGTATATTTTAAGACCTCTCAATAGATCTTGAAAAGGTGTATTCATCGAATGTAGGTCTTGAGGCTTTCGGCAAATCTTGAATATGAATTCGAGCCATTGTTGAGCTCACTTTCATTCCAAGTGGGAGTGTGTGATGAGCAGATTAAAAGATCTTCTTGCTGGAATGATGTTAGCGTACCCTTCATTTCGTCCGACTAAATGAATGGAAAGTATTCGTAAATTGGGGGGAATACATACTCGACGCACGGCAAATCTGCAGTCGCCTCTTCGAGCTCATTGGAGGATGGGCAACATTTCAGGGTCCGACAGACACTTGGTGCTCCAGCGAACCTGCCAAGTTGGGCAAACGGTTGGTGATCCCTCCGATTGTCGGAGCCTGATCCGGGCTTGGCTGATTACCCTCGAAGCATGGGCCAAATGCCTCATCAAGTCGATCAGACATCGTTTTCCAGTTGACTATTTGACTGGAATCGGTTAACTCGGAGAAACAGGTCAAAATAATCGGGTTAATTGCAATGACTTACCTCGCTTCTGCATGAAAGTGAAGAGATCGTCCAAAAACTCCTTTCGTTTCGGCTCCTCCGACAACTCGTAGAGCTGAGACAAGGTCCCCGTAAGGTGGACGAAGTGAGTGAGGTGGTGGTGTTCCGGAATTAGAAGGAAGAGATTGGAGGATGGAGGAAAAAAAGAGGAGAAGGCGAGGCAAGATGAGAGCTTTTTACATCTTGAACGAGTGTTCGAGCAGAGCAGTTTGCTTTATGCAATGCCAATAAACCTTATATTTCAAGTGACAAGTTCGGCCGAAAGAGATTAACAAAATTACCGATCAAGTCATGAGGTGCATCACTAAAATCGTAAAATAAGGTCATCAAAATTAGAAAGGATTACAGATGACCACCTCTTTTGGTTTATCGTTTTTTTCAATTTACTTTAATAGCATTCATAGATCTCACAAGATCTTGAAAAAATGTTTTTATCGCCATAGATCGCATAGGGTGATGAGGGACTGATGGCTGTATTCCCTAACAATCATATGAGATGGCCCCAAAATACCATTGAATTTCACTTAGGTCTGCTTTCCAAGAGATATTCTCCTACAGTTTCAACATTGCCGGGGTCCCCTCAGCAGACCCAATGTGAATCAAAGACGAGTACTACAGCATTTATTGTCGACACCTTACTAC